ACCCCCACCTCTCCGCCCACGTCGCCACATTCCCGTCCATGTCGATCGAGGCGAAGAGCGTCTTCACCCGCGCACGTCTCTCCCGCCGCCCCTCTCCCTGGAACAAGGCCGCCCCCATGCTGCTTAGGATTTCCTCCCTGTTGCTCAGGAATTGCTTTGTCACGCCGCTCCCCGGCCCCACCATCTGCACTCGCGCTCGCGGGTGCGCCGCAGCATCATCAAAGTCTGTAACGTCTAACGCGCCCAACCCCGTAGTTTTTTTTCGCGAGCCAAAATAGAGGCGTAATATTTTGATTTTCTTGGCCACGGCCACGTTGACCGGCTTCTCCCTCCCTCGCCCCCAACTCGCGCAGCCACGTGCGCAAGCTGAGCGCGCTGTCCGCTCTGCGCCAAGAAACAATTCGCGTGCGCGGTGCTGATCGCCGCCCTGCGCGATCGCCACACTCAGCAGAAATTCGACGGGTCGCGCTGCCGCTCGAGCTCCGCTTTGTCGGCCGCCATACCCTCCATGATCTGCCGCCGCTCCGCCTCGGCCGTTGCGTCGCGCTTCGAGTTGTTTTGCGCCGACACGCGCTTGAGCTCGGCGAGCTTGAACGCGGCGGCCTTGTTCTCGGCGACCCGCGCTGCCTCCACCTTGGCCCCAAACTCCTTCACCGCCGCCTTGAGCGCCTGCTTGCCCGCCTCGAGCACCTCCGCGTCTGGAGCCGCCAGCACGAGGGTGGGTGCGTCACCAGCGTCGCTCGAGCAGCCGGCGCCGCCGGCGGCCGCTTCCCTCTTCTCGAAGCCTACCGCGCGGAGGAATCGGAGGCCGCCCTTGGCGCACGCGATTTTCCCAGTGTAGGCCGCCGACCCCGTCGAAATTTGGCTGTACTTTGGCTCGTGTGGGTGGAGCTCGATGTTGCGAACAATCTTGAATAGCACCTCGGTGACGATCCGGAACGCCTTGGGCTCGTTCATCATCAGCACCTCCACCGCCTCCTCGACGGTGGGCCTCGACATGGTTCCGGAGGCCGCCAAGCAGCAGCGGCGCTTGGCCGCTTTGTGTGTCTCGAGACTCGAGAGAAGGCGCGGCCCGCAGCAGCGAACGGCTTTTCTTTTTGGCGGCGCTAAAAAGAATTTCCGCGGCGAATCGTTGGATTTTAAGTAAAAAATTAAAGGAAAATCTAAAAGAAGGCTCGCCTCCTCTGCCCGTGCGTTCGTCTTGTCGTTGTTCGTACCCATCTCTGGATGGCGATCGAACCTGCCTTCTATTGGTGCAACCAGCCTAGAGCGCGATCTTTCACACTGGTGAGCGCGCCGCGTATACACGGCCCGCGCGAGACCGCCGCGCGCCGCTCGCGGTGCCCACACCATCGGGACCGGCCCAGAGCACCCAGCGATTGGAGCCGAATCGCCAGATTCGACCGCGCTGGCTCCTGGAACAACGCGCTGTCGCTCGCAATGACGCAATACGCGCGCTTTCTTTGCTCCATTTCTGTCCAATCGCTCGCGCCCAGACCACTCCCATCCATCGAGGGCACATGAGTAGCCTACGATTGACCCATCTCGGGCCGTCTCTATGCACTCGCAGGTGCATTTGGTCCTCCGCGTGCCCGCTCTCGCTGCCTCGAGCTGCAGAGATGCCGCAAAAGAAGAAGACCGCGCGCGGCGCGCACCTGGCCGCGCTGAACAAGCAGCACCCCAAGCGCGAGGAGAGCGCCGGCGACGCCAACGACCTCGAGTACGTCGAGCCGGACGACTCGTCGAGCTCGGGCGAGTCCGCCGACGGCGACACGCTGGTGCAGTCAATCCTCCCCTTCTCTGGTGCGAGCAGCGCACGAAAGAAGGGGAAGAAGAACAAGCGGCTTCGGACGGCGGACGGCCGTAGCCAACCGACGCTCGCCGATTTCATGCCCCGCCTGCCGCCTTCTC